TTTCTCCCACCGAGGGCATGGGCGCCTGAGGGAATTTACGAGCCTTTAGCGATGGTGGGAGGACCAACGTTCCGGCGCGGGCGTTGGGTAGACTTTATACATGTGCCCTTTCAAAATTGCCGCAAACTTAGATCATACGCTTATACTCTAAATACCACCGTAATCGTATTGCCGGAAGCCAAATGAAACGGGTTCCAAAGATTTCTCAGCGCGGATTCCTGCAGAATCGATGCGAGTTCAATGCACGCTCCTGCGTTACATCACAGATTGAAAACACTGCCTTTTAGCTGAGACACTCCACCTAGCATAAACACACACGCTGCGCGGCGCAACGACGCACGGCGTAGATCGCATCGCTGTTGCGTAATTTCAATGATGCGTGACAGGTGCGCCCAACTCTAGCTAGAGCACACCACATCCTGCCACAGTACACCGCCAGCCGAAGGGAAGACGGCGACGTCCCAAAACAAGAAACACGCCGCAAGCACGGAGCTGTATGTGAATGTAAGAGAAACTTTTGGACGTCCAAACCCGCTTATCTGTTGCTGCAATGTGTGATTTAACAACACGAACGGAAGCAACACAACACGAACGAATGCAACGCAATATCGGGGAAGAGCAGGAAAATCCTGCGAGTTGGGCGGTGAGCGGAACCGTCCCGATGGCTCAGCTGATTGGAGCGCCTGCCCTCCAATTCACCATGACCGAGGCGGGGTGAGTACGAGTGTCTTTGGGTGCTCGCTATTCGCCCACGACTGCGATTGCTTGCGGTCGGTGGCAAGGGCCGAATTACAGGTCAGGTGACGTCAAAAGGATAGGACGGACCATTCCCAGCATCGCAACACATTAGCCAACGCACTAGTGTTGCTGAAATACACCCAGTCTCAGATATGTCGACAGGTACCTCATCAAGACGCCATGAAAACAAGACAAGCTAAAGCGGAAGAGGTCTGCGAAAAGTAGCAGACGAGGCGGACCACGACACTCATCTACACACCTCACATGCGAGCCATCGCCATCAGCATATAGGAGTGTGCGCGCCACAACACAAAATGATAAGCTACGAAGTAAAGTATTGCATGCCATTCAGCACCATTAAATGCCCAATCATTCACGTTGCTTTCTTCCCCGCAAACGCAGCTCCGATTGGACGTCAGTCACGTGCGTTGCTTGACTTTGCGATGCATGCCTATTTCGCCAAGATTCATTTGATTCCATTGATTTGCCTCGCATAAAACAGCTAGAACTACTCCGATCGAGAGTGGGGAGAAACGACATCCCAATTCATGGGATGTGGGTGGGTGGTGGGAGGAAGGAAAAATAAACGTACCGCATTCGGTGGGGCTCACAGAAAACAGTCGAAATTACTGACCAGGTACAACATCTGGACAAAATCCTCAGCAAACACCCGACGCCACCCTGCTAGATAACGTGACTGAACAATCCCGATGGCGCGCTAAGGTAAGCTCCGACTAGACTCATTCGAATTTCAGCATGATAGCACTCAAAGTTAAACGCCACCACGATGCCGCCATTGCAGAAAGCACAAGCAAGAAACCAAGTTCACCCGAATGATACAAATGACCCCTCAAAGCATAATACAATAAATTATACGTGATAAACATCACCACCGTAAGACCACGCCTAACATCACGTTTCAAGCATCACTGCTAGCCAGCCGTTCTGCTGTATCCCACTACATCGCAGCCCGCCAAGCCCCCACCGTTCCGTGGAGCTCCCCCTGACCGCTCGCTCTGCGCTTCAGACGGCGAGTTCCCCTGGCTGCCGGCCCGCGAGCAGCGCGACGACCAGCTGGCGGCGCTGCGCCGACGAGTGGCGCAGCAGGCGCACGTGGTCGCGCACTACCGGCGCACGCTGGTGCCGCAGCTGCGCGGCGACGTGGCGCGCGTCACGTCCGAGAGCCAGACGCTCGGCTGGCGGCTGCGCCACGCCCAGCGCGAGTTGACCATGAAGGACGGTCATATCGCGCTGCTGGAGAAGCAGCGGCAGGAGCTGCGCGGCCACCTGGACGCCGGCCGCATCGACGTGCCCAGCTTCGTGCTGAGCATGCGGCAGACGCTGACCCAGCTGGAGACGAACCTGGCGCAGTCGCACGAGGAGCGCTGCAAGCTCTTCTCCGATGTGTCCATGATGAAGACGGAGAAGGCGCTGGTGGCACGCGAGCTGCGCGACACGGAGCGGCACCTTGAGAGTCTGCGGGAGGAGGCGGCGCAGCAGAAGGCCAGCTACGAACGCCACATCGGTCAGCTGGCGCAGCAGCTGGCGCATGCGCAGAGCCGCGCCGGCCTGCTGGCTGAGCAGCTGGGAAAGCAGGAGAACCAGGCGCGCGTGGAGAAGGCGACACATGCGCAGCAGGTTGGCCACATCCAGCAGGAGAACGCCAGCCTCCGCGAGCAAATCGAAAACCTGTTCGGCATCCTGGCCAAGAAGGACGAGACAGCGTACAAGTTGTGCTCAAAGCTCCTGACGCTCAAGGAGTCTCGCGACCAGAAGGACACGGAAGTGCTGGAGACGATGGCAAAGTACCAGCGGGTGATCGGCAAGATCCTGGATCAGCTCAACGACGTCAACATGGAGAACCTGCTGCTGGTGACCAACAAGCTGCAGGAGAGCCAGCCGCAGCAATACAAGATGCTGCTCGAGAGCCTCAAGTTCAAGATTTACCTCGAGACAGAGAACGCCGGCATGACGCAGGAGTGCAATCAGCTCAAGTACGAGAACTCCTTCCTAAAGAAAGAGAACCAGCGCCTGGCCGAGGAGCTGCAGGACGTGCGGCTGCGGCTGCTGCCGCGCGAGCTGCAGGACGAGAGAGTAGAGCTGCGAGACGGCCGACTGACGCGGGCGAGACGCGCCTCCTTTACTCAGACCGAACCGCCGGTCGACCTGCGCCAGCGCTCTCAGTCGGCGCCGGCTGCCAAGGCGGCCGCGGACGCCAACGCGACGGCGCCGGCCAGCGCCTTCCCCACGCCCGAGACGTCCTCGCAGTCGTCCATGTCACTCAGCTCGCTACCGGAGAGCCAGCAGGACGCGGCGGCCGCGGCGGCCGCGGCGGCGGGGGGCGGGTCCACTGCGCTGCCGACGCCACCCACCTCGCCGCCCGGCGGAAGGCCGCGGCGTGGCTGGCGCGGCCGGGCGCGCCGCGACGGCCGCTCCGAGAGGCACCGCAGCCACGTGACCTGGGGCCAGCTGTTGGAGGGCGAGGGCGGCGCGCCGCGCTCGCTCGACACGGCAGCTGTGACGCAGATGATCGAGCTGGCGGCGGCGCAGAGCACCGAGCTGGAGCGGCTGGACCGCAGCCTGCAGCTGCCCGACGACTGAGCAGGGGACAGCACGAGACCCGGGCGGACAGGGCCCCGGGCCGCGTCGTCTGGCCCGGTCTGGGACCGGTCTGGCTGCGCCCGAGCCGGCATCGCCCCAGACCACATCACCAGACAGCCAGCGGTGTGAGACAGAGACACGCCGGGCGACGCTGAACAATGCAATACTGAGCCGATCACATCGTACACCGGGACGGCGTTGCGGTCTGAACAGCGCCGGTCAGATCCGCGCTTCGGCCGCATGGCGTGCCGTGCTCGACGTCCGCCGCTCGCACCCGGCCTCGCGGCAGCCAAGTGACACGCTAATCGGTGACCACGCTAATCGGTGACGAGTGTGTAGCCATCTGAGTCGGGCCGTCCAGCCGCCCGTCGCCGGTCGCCCGGCCTGCGGTTCACGTGCCGACGCTGAACAGACAAATCACGCGTGCCCGTGCTGCTCGGGGGTCACGGGCCTGGCACGCAGGCAGCGGTCGGGTCGCACCTGCCGACACCGTCGGGTGGCGGGTTTGTGTGGAGTCCTCCCAAACCGCCAGCTGTTTTGTGACCCAGGGCTTAGAAGAGCGATAGCTGGGAAGGGGCATAGTTTTGTATTGATGTATACAAATCCCTGTGATCTATATTTTGCGTGATTCCAGGCAATTGTAAGATAACCGCTAGTATAACACCATGTACGCGACGAACTCGAAAATATTGACGGTTGTGATGTGGAGCGTTGAATCTATGAGCATTAATAGCGTAACGCCACCAGCCCTCTGGTTTTCCCTCGTCCAACCATCACGGTGCTATCGTAGAGTGGCGGCATCTGAGACATCCCTCTGGACGCCCTCCCCACAGGCTGGGCTGTGACCTGTCCGGGCGCGCGTTTGAGCAAAAAAAAAAACGGGACAGCTGCGGCGCGCACGCCCGGCGCCAGCTGTCCAATATAAGTGAGCTGTTGCCATCAGTAGTCGAGCGAGGTTGGCTGAAGGTCGCGTTATCGACCGCCTTTTCGGTGTGAGCCTGCAACAGAGCCACCCCTGGATCCAAACCATGCGCCAAAGCGACAGAAAATGTTTACCAGTTGGATGTCATTCCAACTTATATGTAAAAAATGTCAAGGTGGATGTCCATAAAGGGCGGCACTTCACTGCCGAGAGCTTACTTAATCACACAGCCGACACCCGGGGGCGGCCCTCCACTACCGGGAGCTTACCTAATCACACAGCCGACACCCAGGGACGGCCCTCCACTACCGGGAGCTTACCTAACCACACAGCCGACACCCAGGGGCGGCCCTCCACTACCGGGAGCTTACCTAATCCCACAGCCGACACCCAGGGGCGGCCCTCCACTACCGGGAGCTTACCTAATCCCACAGCCGACACCCAGGGGTGGCCCTCCACTACCGGGAGCTTACCCAATCACACAGCCGACACCGAGGGGCGGCCCTCCACTACCTGGAGCTTACCTAATCACACAGCCGACACCCAGGGGCGGCCCTCCACTACCGAGAGCTCACAATGACGTACAGCTGACGCTGACACTGAAGGGGGGGGGGGGTGCTCCATGCCGAGAGCTGACCTTACCGAACAGCCGACACCCAGGGGCGGCGCCTCACACCGAGAGGCTCACCTCACCACACAGCCGACACCCAAAAGCGGCGCCCCACCATCGAGAACTCACCTTATCGTAGCGGTCGCGCGCCTCCAGCCGCTGGCCGTCCTGCTTGGTGACGGAGACCTGGCCGGGCCAGTGCTCGGCAGCCGGCAGGTAGTCCAGCAGCACCTGCTGCAGCCGCTTCACCCGGCCCCCCTGCGTGTCGTTACACACCAGCAGCGCTGCCAAGCCGCGGACGCGCACGTCAGCCCACAGCGACGGGCAGTCCGTGTCGGCACAATCAACGGCAATACCGGCTAAACGGCCGCATTCTGTCACTGCAACGAATTGTCCTCAGTGGTCACTGGGGACATTTCGTGGTATGCGGCATGCGGCAGTGGAATGGAACATATCCATTAACTGCAGCCCGTGTATTCATACTTGTTGTGTTGCAGCTTTTACTATTTCACGGAGCTTGTTCTTCCGTCCATGCCTTTAGCGGCCAGTGGCCTCCGCACGAGGCTAAAGCCATGTAGATCGGTATGAGCAAGACTGAATTAAAACACCTCGTCAGCGTGGCATTTTACATTATAACTGTTCACATCACGTTCAGGTTTGTGTGATGTATGTGAAGAGCCAAGAGCGGATTCAGTGGCAATGAGGAGAGGACCTTTGGCGCAAAGTGCCGCATAAACCAAGGTTAAATATTTATGGCAATAGATGGCATCACTAGCAGATGTGTTAGCTGTCAATACCAGAGTAAAGACAAAATGCAACATTTCATGCACGAGCAGGCTGAAAGGTCAAGTCCATAAAGAAGGTCATTTTCCAGCACTGCTCCAAACTGATAGGCTACACAATGCACGATATAGCTATTGCACACTGAGTTCGTCAGGTGTAGCCGCGAACGCGGAAGAAAATGGGGTAATCACTGGGTGCCAACGAATAATAAGTCGCTGGTGCACCAAATACCAACGAGGCGCATCAGCATGCTCGTTCACACGGTCTACCCAACTCTGCAATCGTTTCGCGCCTCTGTTGGATCATAGCGCGTTCGCAACGACTGTCGCTAATATCCCAACACAACCCATGGGTGCGTGTTGCACCGTTTCTGGGCACAGTTGACCTGGGGAGTGCCAGGGCGCTAACCCCGACTCAGTGGTTCCGCGGCCGATCTGGGCAGATCGGGGGTGCCGGTCTCCCAGTGTCCTGTGATGACCAGGGTACATGTCTGGGTCATGACCCGGGCAGTGTCTGGAAAACACACTGGGAATACCGCCTGGGAGCTGTCCTCGGTACTAGCCACGTTTGGGACCCTGCCCGGGTGCGGTGTTCGCGGACCGGCTCCCCGGTATCTTGTGATGACCCACAGTGTCTTGTGATGACCTGGGTATATGTCTGTGGCTTGATCCCGGCAGTGTCTGGAAAACACCCTGGGAATACCGCCTGGGAGCTGTCCTCGTTACTAGCCACGCTTGGGAGCCTGCCTGGGTGCGGTGCTGGCGTGTCGGCTCAGCTGCACTCCTGCCAGCTGACCTGGGTACAGCGTCTGCAGGATCGCCAGCGACTTGCCACCGGGAGCGGCGCACAGGTCCAGCACCTCGTCCCCGGGCTGCACGTCCAGCGCCAGCACCGGCAGCAGCGACGCTCCGTCCAGCGGGTAGTAGTCTGGCGAGCAACGTGGTCTGACCTGACACACCGCGCCGTAACAGACGGCCACAGGGTATGTGTTGCAGTCTGACCTGACACACCGCACCGTTCCTAACAGACAACCACAGGGCACGTGTAGCGGTCTGACCTTACACACCGCACCGTAACACACGGCCACAGGGCACTTGTAGCGGTCTGACCTGACACACCGTACCGTTACTAACGGACGACCACAGGGCACGTGTAGCGGTCTGACCTGACACACCGTACCATCACAGACGGCCACAGGGCACGTGTTGCAGTCTCACCTGACACACTGCACCGTAACAGACGGTCACAGGGCACGTGTGGCACTCTGACCTGACACGCCACACCGTTACTAACATAAGACCACAGGGCACGTGCAGCGGTCTCACCTGACACACCGCACCATTACCAACATAAGACCACAGGGCACGTGCAGCGGTCTGACCTGACACACCGCACCGCTACCAACATAAGACCACAGGGCAGGTGTAGCGGTCTGATCTGACACACCGCACCGTCACAGACGGTCACAGGGCGCGTGTTGTAGTCTGACCTGACACACACCGCACTGCCAGGCACGGATGGACGCGCCAATACGGGTCGCTCACAAACAGATTCAGAGCGAGGTCACGGACCACACCAACAAACAACGAGCAATGGACAAAGAAACAAAAGCACGTGCAATGGCAGGTGCCAGAAACCAATGACACAGGCATACCAGAAAAGGAGGCAGACAAACAAAAACAGACGCCGTTGACAAGCAAACAACAGGCAGAGGGGCACAGCTGCAGAAACACGTAAAGAGAGCTGTGTAACAGGGACAAACGTAAAAGACTCACCAAAGCACAGAAACCACGTCAGAGAGGCTACAAATACTTATATCTACAATATCCAAAAGTACAAGCCAAAAAAACTGCAGGCATGCAAATACCAGTGCGTCTCGGGTAAAGCTGACATCAGGCATTCACAACAGCAGTATACAGCTTCTATTTAGGTGAAATTAACTTCCAACACAGAGGCCTTTAACCTGACCACCTCACCAGTCCACGGCACCGAGCGGCCGACTGCACCGCGTTGAGACGGGAGCCGCGCCGGTGTGCCCTCACCTCTCACCCCCGTGGACGAGGTGCTGGGGAAGGGAAACCGCGAGATCTCCCCCGCCGGAAAACTGAACACGCGCAGGGTATCGGGAATGGAGATTGGGCTGTCCCTGTCCAGCGCCACCTTGAGGCTGCCGTCCTCCTGTGTAACATCAGTGGCACATGTCAGTCCTTCGACACATGGGATGCACACCTCAGTTATCCGCCACACCGGCCACATATGTCAGCCTTCGCCACACAGGCCACACACGTCAGTTCTCTGCCACACCAGTCACGAAATTCAGTCCTTCGCCACACAGGCCACGTACGTCAGTTCTCGGCCACACCAGCCACATAATTCAGTCCTTCGCCACACAGGCCACACACGTCAGTTCTCAGCCAGACAGACCACATAATTCAATCCTCGGCAACAACAGTCACACACACAGGTCCTCCATCACGCCGGCCACATACACCAGTCTCAAGCATCACACACATATGCCAGCCCTCAATCTGAGTAACACTCGTCACATTGCCAGCCTTCATATATCATAAAGTGAAGACACATCAGGCACCATATGCCACACCGATTACACACGTCAGCCCCGCCAAACCGGTCCCGCGTCAGTCGTGCAGAACAGATAACAACGTGATGTCACTGGGTTCACACGGATTAAGTTGGTGTAGCGTTAACTGCCTCGATTAATTAATTATATTCACATTAAGGAAAAACCTGTAGATGGAAATGGCCACGTTTTTCTGTTGTTTAACGGCATACTAAAAATGACGCATCGTTTTAGCTCGCATTTCGTGCGTACTTACTACCTTGCACACACATTTACGAGGCCGACAACTCAACAGCAAGACAACTATCGTATTAATGTAGAGGATGCATGGTTGTGTAGTGCACTCGCACCATCCCGCCACACCACTCCTGAAGACGCATCGCTGTTCATCGTAAGGAAGCGTCCCCTTCCCCATACACTTAACACGGTACCAACGATTCACCGCTGACGTACCTGGCCATACTGAAAGTAGTCGCCCTCCTCTAGCCAGTCCTCGTCGCCATGCAGTTGCGTGGCCGGCACGTAGTCGTGCAGGGCGGCCGACTCTTCCTGCGTGGGCTGGACGAGACGCAGCTGACCGGCTGCCTCGGCGCGGGCGCGCGCCTCCGCCGGGTCGGCCGCCGACGTCTCGTCCGCGGTGCCGTCTGAAGAGTCGGCGTCGGCGGGGAGCGACGCGGGGTCGGCGGAAGACGCCAGGCTGGAGAGGCGCCCCTGCCGCCGCGAGATCTGCTCCCGCCACTCGGCGGTCAGGTCGAAGCTGCCGCACGACTGCCGCCCACCGCGTGTTAGATGAGGACAGTCGTGTCACGGAGCAAGTAGGACATTGAGTGGTATGCGGCAATGGCAGCTTTAAAACGTATTTATAAAAACAACAAACACAAACTGGGAAGAGGCAAAACGTGGGAATTTGTGTAAACCCCTGCGGAAGGAAGACTTCATGAGACGACGCATTACATACTCAGTCATGAACAACGATTTCATATCAAATTGCTTTATGGTCGGACGGACCATAAAGCAATTTGGACGGACGGACCCATGGCCTCGAATGTCCATCAAATCAACAATATCTGCCTGGTCGCGGCGCCAAACCGGTACTGACCGTCAGCTTGGCAGTCGTCTCGGCCACGTTGCTATAATGGTTCACCAGGGCTGTGGGCTTGGACTGACAGAGAAGGGCCAGTCGTATTGAGCGCCATCGCGGCCCGTACTTCTCTGGGTAAAAATGGTCAAAGTGCTTCAAGGCCAAGGCTGTGCCAGTCTGCTTCTTCCTCAGTTTAGCCTGTTGGCAGAGAGACCAGATAATTAACAAGGGGCAAAGATTGTTATCCATCCCTACCAAGTCAGAATGAATAAACATGATGACTGATATAGGAAAAAGCTGGTGGATGCTTGATTAAGCTTGACAGCATAAATCAAGAATGGCATCATCAGAGGATTGTGCTATTCAGCTCATTAAACCATTTGCTGAAAGAAGCACACAAAGCATTTTGCACTGCTATATGCAATTTCATGCGGTGTACACATGATCCTGGACATGAATATTCTGCCTCAGACAGGTGTGGCAGGTATTTCCAAATGTTACTAAGCAAACAAAAAATGGTATGCCAGTTACAATGTGGTGTAAACAACCTATGCAAATACCTAACTGAACAATCACTTGGCGGACAGTGGCTCTGTTTTCACCTCATCCATGACTACTAGTAACGTTTGCAGGTTAACAGCCAGCAACTTTATTAGCTGTGATCTTTTACTAAAAAAGCAACACAATGAAATGTGTGTCTTACAGTATATTTATCTTATCTCAATCTAAGACATGAGCACCATGACAGTGACATGACATGACGTGAGCACATAAGCACCATACATGGGATCAAAGCCAGGCTTCTGACTTTGAAGCCTTTACCAGAGCCAAGATAATGTGGTGAAGCTGAAGCCAAAAAGCTGAAGCTGATGGCTTTAAAGATGACAACTATGAAGCTAAAGCTAAGGCTTATAACTCAGTATTTTTGAAACATGAAGATGAATCCAAACCCAATGGCCTCAACATTGCATACTAAAACTGAAAGGGACATTGTCAGTATCTTTGAGCTGGAGATGAATCCATCAGATTACCATCATGAGGCTAAAACCCAAGCAGAATCTACTGCACAGCATTGCTCAATTCAACAAGAACCATTTTGAGTCTGCTAAAAATACAAGGGGTCAGTGAATATTGTCAAGGTTTTACAGGTTGAATAAAATATGGTATAAATCAAGGAACAAATGAAGAAATATTAATTAGGAAACAAATGAGCATGCTTGAGACATATTTTCTAAATATTTTGGCATTGACTCTTGGGCTGTTGCAATAAATTACCTTGGAGTCTTTATTGTCCACAGCTTGTAAGGAAATGTTTTGAGAGAAGCTACAGAAAGCAAAACTTGATCCCAAATGGGCAATCTTCGACTCATAAAGGACAAGAGTTCAGGTTGCCTGTAACATTTTGTTGATGTTATTTATATACCTTGCAAACTGGGTGATGTGACAAGATAGCTGCAACATATAGATATGATAAGGCAAGGTTTGGGGGATGATAAAAAGGGATGGTGAAAAATGGTAAAATCTTCCAAACCTAGGTTGTGCCCCTAACATACCAGTTCCACTGACAAGACTGTCGATATGCGGCTTAATTTGCCAGCAAACTTACCCAGTGGTCTGCCCTTTTGCTTTTCCAACGCCGTGCAAGTTGGCTCCATCCCTGGCCGCATCCACTGCACAGCTCACTCGCGGCCGTTATGCATCGAATCATCCCTGCCGCTCAGAAGATGACCCAGAACAAATCTTCTGATCGTTTGATCCCAAGAATACGGAGCCTCGTTAGACAGGTACATTAGAAAATGCGTGCAGAGCAAGCACAGTATAAATATATGATCCAAATTGTCTTTACCACGCCGTGTTTGCATGCGAGTGAGGTGGTGCTATCAGCTAATTCTGTTGTTCGTTACATTTTGTTCTCAGTGTCCGTGTAATAGTATCTCAAACGTGGAGTATTGTTGAATAGTACCACACAGCTAGCACCACATGGCATCACCACATTTTTTTGTTAATATGCTATAGAATATTGATCTTTAAAGGATTACTCCATGAAATTATGAATTATTAAGTTCCATATTTCGCGAACGCATCAGCGAACTGAGCTTGTTTGCCACCTAGGGGTCGATGGCATAACTAGAGCTTGATAGATGGTGTGCTATACCACATGCACATTATTGCACAAAACTCCGATTCATTGTGTGTACTGCAGCATGGAATCCCTGAGCCAAGAACATGCATTTCGATAGGATTAAGTATCTGGCTTCACTGACAGTGCTCCACGGTAATTAATGCTGGAACTGGCAACTTTAAAGAGTAGGCGCTCAGACGACTCGTTTTAAACGCAGATCGCATCGTGCTTAAACCACTCCAGCCAGGCAATATGTTTCGGGAAGCATGACGTCAGAGGTGTAGCTCTGAACTGAGCTTGTAGAGCCCTTCCGCTCCCCCCACCCCTGGCGCCAGCCTCGAGAACCTCGAGGTTAAATCGGTTACATTCGGGGATAAATGAACAATAGACAGACGGCAGTCATAGCATCGAACCCAGTAGTCATAGCCTTATTTCCCGGAGAAAGACCAGGGAATGAAGACATGGACGCGTTGATATTGCGGCAACATGCCTTTATCGCGACAATAGCAGAAGTGAACTCGCCAATACCTCGACTTCTGTCTTATTTTTGTGAGTGATGTGCCACGCACATGCACCTAACAACGTATGTAAATTGAAGTAAGCCTGAAAGTGGTAGCTTTAGTAATGAGCTCTCGCATTTTTCCCACACCGACTTTTCTAAATTGTATCCATGTTTGGCGGTAGTTCAGACTACCGCCGTCCAACGAAAGACAAGACGGGACGTTTTTTACCAGTCGTTAACGTGGTCGAAGAAAAAGTGTCGATCCCCGAATCTATTTGGATTGAGTCAGTTCCATCCCATCTACAGTAGTATAGAATGCACAGCAGTTTAAGGGCCATGGATAGGATCTGGTAAGTCCGCACCAAAAGCCACGCAGAAATGTCAACAACTTGTCAGATAAATCTCAAATGTTTCAGCCAACAGATAACAAAGCGCATTACAAAGTCAATCGCAGAATATTGATGGTAACTGGAGACTGCGGATGAAACCGCGTGACCCATCGGCTGCTCTGTCCAGCTAAAAGCTTGCAGGTTAGGTGACTGAAATGTCCTGGAGACAGGACAGACCAGACGCAGCCGCTAGCAAACTGAATTTTCTCATCGCTCAAAATTTCAGTTCATTATTTGCGTCACTACACTCCAGCACCACAGTGCAAAGAAAATACCAGCACAGCATTATTTCAAGCCATTTTTATTGATGTTCCATAATTGCCACTCTTTGAATATACGTTCATCTCAAAAACACTGCACCACTGGAAAACATCCTACACAACTGGAAAACGTCCTATACATTTGTCTGTTGGTTAATGCACATCCCTGCAGACCCATCAACAAGCCTGTCAACAGCCTTTCTAAAGACGAAAGCACGAAGACACAGGGTACAGAGACTCCGCCATCTTGGAATACTCCCGCAGCTGATGCAGAACACAGCCAGTCTAAATAGACACCTCTAAACGCAAACAGATAAAACCCGGCCAGGCGCCGACGTGCGCCAATACTGCCGCACATCGCCGGAGCAAACAAACGAGAGCGCTCACGCCACAACAGCGGCGGCGGCGCGGGGCGGCCGTTTGTACACGCTGGCCATTCAGGGATATGTGAAATGTGAGGGGGCACACGGGCGGGTGGGCGTTCGGCGCCGGATGACGTCACGACGCGGCCGACCGGCGACAGTGACGGAGGTCTGACCAGACGCACACGTTATCACAGCTGGGTCCAGAGGGCCGGCTGCTGGCGCCGGCTTCTACTGGATGGAGGAGAAGCTCGGGGTGTGCCCGGTGGCTGGTACGCCTGTAACGACATACACGAGCATGATCAGCACGGGTGCGGGTAGGCGCCACTGAGACTCACCACAAAGAAACGGCATTGTAAGCCCGGAAATGTTTCGCACGGAGCGACAGAGTAAACATAGAATCGTCCTACAATAAACATACTTTACATAGACCATGCCACTTATAACATATTGACACCTCACAGCTTGACAATTAAGGTACAACCTGAAATGACCGAGCCACGTTGTACACATCTGGCTGCACAAGCTCTTGCAGAACGTCGGGATTTTCTTAGCAAATAAACTCATTATTTGTGTTCACTTCACCTGCCGCTTCGGCCGGCGTGGATTACCCACCTGCGTACGGGTTGAAGCCAACGGCAGGCGGGAAGCCGAGCGGGGCCGGCGGCTGCCCTCTGGGAGCCGAAACAGTCAGCGGGCTGGCCGGCTTCCGGTGCGGGCTCCCGCCGGAGGACGCCGCCGCCGCCGCTGCTGCCACCGCCGCCGCCGACACCGACGCCGCCGCAGACGGCGAGGACGAGGTGGGCGTCTTGCGGGCGCGCTCCTGCAGCTCGAGGATCTTGTGTGGCGGCGAGAAGAAGGGCCCGGGGCGGTGTCCGACCATTTCGCCGGGCCGTGGCGCCAGGCCAGGTCGGCTCAGGTCCTCCGGCGCCGCCGGTGGCGCCGGGAAGCGAGCGTGGTGCAGCGCGCCGCCCACCAGCAGCGGGTTGTACGGCAAGCCAGCCAGCCCGAACGGCGGGTAGCCGAGCGCCGCCGGCGAACGTGCCGTCTCCAGCAGGCGCGGCTTGGCCTCCTTGGTTGGCGGCGGCGCCGGCGGCGCCGGCCGCTTGGCCTGCGAGGGCGAGCTCTGGCGACGCGGCGGCTCGCGCGGCGCGCCCGCCGCCGGTCGGTGCGCCGGCGCCGGGCCCGGCTTGGGCGGCGCCGAGCCCGGCTTGGGCGGCGCCGAGTGCGCCGGCGGCGGCTGCGGCGCGCCGGTGTGCGCCGCGCGGGGCAGTGCACCCGCCGGCGGCGGCGCCGAGCTACGGCCCGAGTCGCCCTCGGCGGCCATTTCCTAGCCGCTCGCCGGCGGCCGGCCGTCCGCGCTCGCCGTCCGTGCCCTTGCCGGTCGGCGGCGCTTTGTACTTGGCGTCGAGTACCATCGGCACAGGGTAGCCGGCCGGGTCCATCGGCGGGTACGCGTAGCCCGGCAGGTACGGGTACGAATAGTACGGCACGCGGCCTGCCGGGTACTCGGCCGGCCCCGGATTGGACGGGCGCACCGTCTCCTCCCGACGTCCCTTCGCATCGGCAGCGCCCGGTGACGGCGACGCCAGCTTTGATCGAGGCGGCGGCAGGTACGAGCCGGGCGGCTGGAAGAACGAGTGGTAGTACACACTAGCCGCCGACGCGGGCGCCGCCACCTCCTTCTTCTCCGCGGGCGGCGGCGGCGGCGGCGCAGGTGGCGCTGCGGCGGCCGGCGGCCGCGGCGCCGTCTCTGCCTCGCCGTCGTCCGATATGTCGCTGTAGGCGGGGCTGGCGGTGCCGTCGCGCGCGGCACGCTCGGCGTCCGGTCGCGGCCCGCGCGACGCGGCTCGCAGCTCGCCACCCGCCTCGGGCCGCGGACTGCCCGACGGCGTGCGCACGCCGTTCTCGCGACGCCGCTTCTTGGGGCGCTCCTTCTCCTTGCGCAGCGCCTCGAGCGCCGGGTTGATGGCCACCGGCTCGCCCATGATGGTCGGCTTCGGCTGGATCGGCTTCAGGTGCGACACGGACTGCGGCAGGGCGGCGGGC